CACTGATTAATTTTTTCATCCATTTTTTTATGAAAAAGATTGATTTATAATTAAATTATAGGACTTTATATAAAAAAAACTAATTTAAAAATATTAATTTTATGTTTACTTTTTAATGATATGACATATTGATAATATGAGACATTAAATATTTTTTTATTTTTTATCAAAGAGTAATAATATATATTTATATATTTTTGTATTTTATTTATTTATTTAAAGTAACTTGAAATTTTTATTCTTGTAAAAATATTTTTTATTACATGGGGGAAAAGAAAAATTGTGGAGATCGAATCACCACCTTCTTTATTGAACTTAATACCGTTACACTATATTAACGTGAATTCTATTTTAAATAAAAGTCTTAAAAATTATGAAATTTATAAAAGTCAAATGAAAATCTCTCAATTAAATACTAGTGTTCTAAAAAGCGTAAAACGTGATTAAACGCGAAGGTTAATCTTCAGGCTTTACAAACCTAGGTGAGGCTTAAGCGTTAAAAAAAAAAAAGTTTTCTTATTCTTAATATTATTTTAAATTTTAAATTATTTTAAATCATTTACTAATTACAATAATACATATCAAACATCTAAAATTATAAAATACTATATTTATTTAATAATTCGTATCATTAGTCAATTATACAATTTTCAAGTTTTCGAAATTCAAAAATTAGAATATTTTTTATAATTTCAATTTTCAATCAGACAAATCATATTTAATAGATTTATAGGAATTACATATATACTTTTAGAGTTTACAACAGAATAACAACTCTCAAAATCTTAATCACCATAATTTAACTATTTGAAAAAAAATAGTTACAGAAACAACGCTCTTTTCTAAGCCGCTATTTAGAAACAATCGCGCTACACTTAGGATATGTTTGATAACCACCTTTTCCATGGAAAATTGAAAAAAAAAAAATTCAATTCCTACCATTAAATTAGTGTTTGATAGACAAAATTTGGCATGGAAAAAGAACTCCCACCCACGCGCCCATTTTCCAACATTTTGAGGAATTCATTTTCCCAACTTGTTGGTGGGAAAAGGAATTCCAACTTCTGGCCGATTTTTTTTTTTTTTTTT